GGTCCCATTTGTTTATTCTTGCATTTACTTCATTTTAATGTTAATGTCCATCTCCTGGGCAACACGTGCCCAAGTAAAGGTGAGAATAGCATCATGAAATTGACTTTATCAGCTATATGACTAAAGAGCTGCACCTAAAGACAAAGACAGGTTTAAATTAAAATTAAATAGCAGAAATTATAAATTGAGAGAAAAGGTATATTGAGGTGATATCCATGGACAAAGTAGGAATTATGTGTAGGATACTTTCTTTTTAAAAAAAATCTCTGAAACCTTAGTGTTTCACTGTGAACTTTCAAAATATAATTAAGGGTGGAAACTATTCAGCCTAGATTCACACTACGTTAACTGGGAGTATAAGGCAATTTGGAAAATTGTTATTAAAATTTTCCAAATAATAGAGATTGATTTTTTTCTTGTAACTAACTCATCACTTATTTTTAGAGATACCTCTATGTTCCCAATTTTTAATTTTCTTTAAAAATTCCTGGTATTTCTAAAAACTATTTGAAGTATTTAGACTTTGATTTTCATTTTTAGTTGAAGGAAGTATTGCCTTTTATTATTTGATCAGTCAGTTTGGATATCTCACTTGATGTCTCTGAAATTTAAGAGTTTTCACATTTTTATATAAATATAATGTTTGCTAGTTAACTTACACACCTGAATATTAAAACCACATAAAATAATTGATGTATGAGAGTACAGTAAATATTTGTTTCTTTATCCATGTAAGTAATACATATTTTCCCATTGCTTAGAAAGTTTGTTTTTATTTATTAAATAATTAGGATTTTGAGTAGGTGTTTTGGAAAATGTTAACTGTCCAATTGCTTAATTGGTTAATAGATTGAAAAGTATATGCTTGGTAAAGCAAAAGCTGAGAAAATAAGTTTAATATAATAGACAATTCCTGTGAGGGTTCAGAAGTCATATGTTCTAGACTGAAATGAAGAGAATTTAGTTTTAAATTTTTCACTTAGGCAGTATGACAACATTTCAATTAACTGGAATCTTCCATTGACTAAAATACAAGTTTAAAAAGTTTTTATTATAATCTAGAAATATGCCTATTCAATAGTCTGACTCTTTCTTTCCAGTAGAATTTTTCATGATGATAGAAGCATTTTACACTATGAATCATGGTAGCTAATAGTAGCCACATGTGGCTGTTGGGCACTTGAAATGTAGATACTGTGACTGAAGAAGTGAACTTTGAGTTTAATTTATAATTAATTTCTTTGAAATAATTGTATATCCACATGAAGCTGTAAGAAATAATAGTGAGATCACATGTATCTTTTACCCAGTTACTCCCAATGGTCATGTATTACAAAACTATATTGCAATATCACAAGCTGGATGATGTCATTGACAGTCAGGATACAGAATATCCCATCACCACCAGTACCCCTCATGTTGTTCTTTTATAGTCACACCCACTTCCTTCCTGCTCCAGCTCCTGCTAAACTCCTGGAAGCCACTAATTTGTTCTCTGTTGAAAAGTTTGTTGTTTCAAGAATGATCTGTAAGTGGAATCTAACAGTATATGACTTTTTGAGATAGTTTTTAATCATCATATTTCCCTGGAGACTCAAGCAGGTTATTGTGTGTATCAATAGTTTGTTTTTTCTATTGCAGAGCAGTGTTCTTTGGTATTTATGCATCCTAGTTTGCTTAACCATTCACATAATGCATGGTATATGGTTTTTTCAAGGTTATGGCTATCACTAATGAAGCTGCTATAAACATCTCTATACAGGTGTTTGTGTGAATATATTCCACTTTCATTTCTCTGGAATAAATGCCCAGAAGAGCAATTGCTAGATTTTGAAGTATTGCTGTGTTTAGGGTTTTTTGTTTTCTTTTTTTTTAAAAGAAACTGCCAACCTTTTTTCCAGGGTGGCTGTCTCATTTTCCACTCTCCCAGCAGAGTGACTGAGTTTGTTGTTTTGCCAGCTTTGATGTTGTCACTATTTTAACCATCATGATAGATGTATGGTGATAGCTCATTGTAGTTTTCACTTGCGTTTTTCTGAGGCTAC